TTTTTTTTTTTTTTTTTTTCTGTTGTATCTTAGTGCATGGAAAATAAGTGCATTGTGCCAAATTTATGACGCCCCCTTTCCCCACCTCTACTTTTTTATGAAATTTTTGTTTGCCTTGCATTGCATACGTACTATAGGGAAACATTCAGCCTTTTGCTTTCGTCCACTGTACTTCTAATTTATTCAGGGAGATATTGTTAACAGGTAGGGGTCCTAGTTAATTGCTAAACAAGTCCACATTGTGCTACTTATTAATTCATAGGAAACAATTACTATATAGGAACATTTATATTTTCTAGTGATACCTACATTAAAACGTAAAGCATATAAAACTTCTTCCTTCCGTTGTGAAAAGATGCACATGATGTTCATTGCAACATGAGCTCAGTAGGATAATGGGTAACTATTTTCGTGGTTTTTGATTTTTAATGAATGAATGGCATTTTTGTCTAAGTTTACATTTCAAAGAATAATTATTGGCCAATTATTTTAAATGTTCTTTTAACACTTTGAGGTAAGAATGTATTTGTGTAAATGCTTAGTGCAGTCCTTGTTTAGCCAAGGGGATTTTTGGGACTGCTGACTCAAGTAAAAGTTTGCAGGGTTGTTTGCAATAATTAGGGTTAACAGTTTCAGAAATGATTCTGGAACCTGTTTCCCTGTTGAAATGAAGAGGCGTTTGGCCAAGTGGTTGAGTCGGACCAGGATTTGGACTCTCAAAAACTGCCATGTTGATCTTTTTAACCCTTTATTAAAACAAATAATTGGAAATCAAAATATTTAATTGCTAAACTAGGAAAATTGCAAAATATCAAAACTTACATGCATATGGATTAATTTTCTTCCCTCCCTAAGGTTACTAATAGGAACCTGCTTCCCTTTTCAAGGCAGAGTGCAAAAAAATTTTATATATATAGTTTTGGTAGAGAATATTTTAGGTTTGAAAGAGAATTGTATTAGGTTGACAATTATAGATGCCAAGAGCATGTAGTACTTATTTTGGTGGTGGTGGGGGGGTTGACAGTACTGCAGCAGAGGAAAAAGAAAAATGTTTATGTTTTGGGGGGGTGCCTCCCCAGTGCAATTCCGTTAAAATGGAAAATGTTTGTGTTGATTTAGGTTCACATTAAGACAGTCAGTCCACTGATCCTAAGAGAAATCTACACAGAAATTTCTAAGGGACATAATTTCTTCAACTGGCATAAATAGTGATAAATAATGAGAACTCCAACAAAAATTCTGACATAAAAATGAGAAAATTTACATTAAATGTTAATGGTTTAAACAAGATGGTCTTATTTTCATTTTTACATATTCAGTATAGTCCTTGCTATCTGCACAGCTGAATAAAGTCTTCTAAAATGACAAACTCAGTTTTAGGAACATTGAATGAAATGCATTATTTTCACAGTGGACAGGCATAAGTTTCTGTAATGATATATTATTATGTTTACTTTATCTTACTGGTTAATATTGATGTCACATTTACTTCATTTCACTGTTCTGTAAACAAAGTAATTATGTATTGCATGCATTCTTTTATGTTGACTATTATTTTAGTCCCTTTATTGTGAATCCTGCTTTCCAAATGACATGCCCTGCAGATCTTCATATTTAGAAGATTAAAACAATCTTTTGTTGGGCCCAATCCTGTTTATACTGAAGGAAATAGCAAAACTTTAACTGAAATGATGCCAAATCAGGAAAATTTGTGTGTAAAATTAGATTTTCAGCAGAATTAAATCTTTGAGGAATAGCTAAAAGTGAGGGTTTGGTTTAAAACAATTTAAATAGTATGTCATTCACAAATCTAAAACAATAATAATAATTAATAATAAAAGAAGTAGTTGTATGACTTAGTTAAGGAATAGTCCACCAAGGAACAAATAAACAAGAAAGTGTAGATCTCATATCTGATGGTTTAGTATGACTTGTATTAATACATACATGTAGTAATTTATTTTGTTTCCAAGATTGGCACAAAGCATGGCAGTGTGTACAGTTTAGTTGTACATGAAAAATGCAGAAGTATCAATCTTTCATATTTTTCTTAAAATTAACTGGAACTATTATAAACATTTTCTTATTTGTGGCGGACATGCCTATATTATATATACTTCAGCAATTTTTTTTAATAATTCGTCTGTAGCAGGGCTTTATTCAAAATCAGATTTTTATTGAAGGATGCATTGCTTTTACTTCAAACCTACTTTGTTAATTTTGGTTTTTAACATGAAACATTCAAGAAATTTTTTTTCCCCTGCAGTACTGCCAAAAAGATCAGTGCGGTTCTCACAGAAATTGGACTTAATTTCAGTATTTTTTGCAACATATTGCATCTGGAACAGTTTCACTTCTAGACTGTTCCATGTTTAAAAACAATATGCCAAGCAAGACATGTAAAGACTTATTTGTCAATTTTATAAATGAAGGGCCAGATTCTGTTTTGTTACACTGGTGCCCTTCAGTGCAGTTATTGGACACCAGTATGAGTGAGGACCTGTTCAAACTCCACCTGGTGTTTAGTAGAAAGGTTCTAATTGGCTCAAAAGATAGAGCAAGAGTAGGCTTTGGCCCTATGTTTTCCAGATACTTTTACTAATGTTTAAAACTCGGTTACATATGTATGTTAAATTTATTTTTTCATTTAAAATATACTTTCGAAATGGAAGTGAAATAAACATTGCATGTGTAGCAACCAAACAAATGATATTTGTCTGTGCATGTAAAAGTGTAATATTAATAGCACTATTGTGGGCAGAAGGTTTCCAAAAGTGCTGTCCATTTTAATGTGGATTGTTTGCCTTTTATGTCTCAAATCAAAGTCAATTTTTTCAGCTGTTTGTTTGGGGTTTTTTAATAGATCATATTTCAGTGCTCCCTATTCTTTCAGATTTGGGTTTTTCTCTCCATCCTTTTTGTTTTGACCTTTCCTGTTGGCAAGCTGTTCACTTCTCTCTGGGCTGTTTTGAATTTTAATTATGGTCCTTTGACATATTGTAGGTTGGTGGGTACTCTCCAAAACTTTTAAAAATCCTTCACCTGATGCATTGTTTCTGACTTCATTCTGATGGATGTTGGGCTTCTCTTTTTATAGGTATGTTTACCATAGCTCTAAATGGATGGTGGCTGGTAATGCTGATTCGCCAGTACCACCTCGTGTTTATATTCACCCTGATTCTCCCGCCTCAGGGGAGACTTGGATGAGGCAAGTGATCAGCTTTGACAAATTGAAACTTACAAACAACGAACTGGACGATCAGGGACATGTGAGTATCATATCTCCTTATGGTACTAGAAACTAGCACATCAGTCATCACTAGGAGCTTTGTGGCTTTTATCTTCATGTTGATAAAAATGAGCCTGGCCTTATAAAACTGCCATGAAAGTTTATCAGCCTGGAGGAAAAACTGGCTTGCTTTTTACCTTGCTAATCGCTAACTTTAGAAGTGGAGGCTACTTTAATTGCCCCTCAAAAGCATAACACCTCTGGTAACTAGTTGTTTAGCCATGCAACAGTTTAATCTAAAAGTACAGACTTGCTCTATTTTTCTTCTCTACCCATAACTTGTAACTCCATTTTTTTTATCAGAAAACATACTTAAACTCACAAGTGTCTAGAAGAAACAATAATAGCATGTAATAATTTAATGTGACTAAAATACATTTAACTATCTCTTTAACCTACACATTTGTGTGAAATCCCATGAGATGTTAATAATTGCACTCAAAAAGGAACAACATAGGAGCTGGGTTCACTCTGATAATGATTTATTACATACCTTATGAAGCAAGACCCTTTCACAGCTGAGGCTCATTACTCCTGAAAAAAACTGGCAAAGACTT